CACGTGGCCACCATTAATTCTAAATAGAACAATTGCGTCGAAACTACAATTGTTGTTCAACCACTGTTTTCACATTGATCGCAAGTTACGTTGCCCGTCGTTCTCTCGGCGGAATACCGTCAGAGAAAATCGCGGATCTATTTAACGAATTCGCCTGGAAAGCTTATCCAGGAACAATTGCTTGTTGTATGCAAATAACGCGGCAGATAACCGGTCCCATTTGGATTCGATAAATCGGGTTTCCTCGTGTTGCGTAAACGACAGTTGAATAACGAATGGGTTCCGCACCATCTGGGCTGCTCCTTGATATCGTACACGTTTTTTTATTTTTTTTAGATTTAATCCGATTATTTTTAGAATATAATCTTTATTGGAATTCGATCGATTTTGATCTTATCCCTTAATTTATTGATCTTGAATTTCGTTGAATTTCTGTCGTTGTTTGATTTTTATTTCATTCCTTAATTTATTGATCCTGTGAAAATTCACTGTGGCACATGGTTGACCGTATTTTTTAAAATAATTTATATTCCTTAATTTTTAAGTGATATTCGTTGGATTTCTGTCGTGGTTTGATTTTTATTTCATCCCTTAATTTATTAATAATTTGAAAATTTACTGTGGTACACGATTAACTGTATTTTTAAAAATAATTTATTATAATTAATTTTAGAACAATCTTTATTGAAATTCCACCGCCGACCGATTTCAATTTCATCCCCTAATTTTTGGGTCTCGTTAAAATTTACTGCGATACATAGAAAACCACATTTTTAAAAATAATATATTACAAATAATTTTAGAACAATCTTTATTGAAATTCCATCGTCGTCCGATTTCAATTTCATTCCTTAATTTTTGGGTCTCGTTAAAATTCACTGCGATACATAGAAAACCACATTTTAAAAAATAATATATTACAAATAATTTTAGAATAATCTTCATTGAAATTCCACCGTCGTCCGATTTCAATTTCATCCCCTAATTTTTGGGTCTCGTTAAAATTTACTGCGATACATAGAAAACCACATTTTAAAAAATAATATATTACAAATAATTTTAGAATAATCTTCATTGAAATTCCACCGTCGTCCGATTTCAATTTCATCCCCTAATTTTTGGGTCTCGTTAAAATTTACTGCGATACATAGAAAACCACATTTTAAAAAATAATATATTACAAATAATTTTAGAATAATCTTCATTGAAATTCCACCGTCGTCCGATTTCAATTTCATCCCCTAATTTTTGGGTCTCGTTAAAATTTACTGCGATACATAGAAAACCACATTTTAAAAAATAATATATTACAAATAATTTTAGAATAATCTTCATTGAAATTCCACCGTCGTCCGATTTCAATTTCATCCCCTAATTTCTGGGTCTCGTTAAAATTTACTGCGATACATAGAAAACCACATTTTTAAAAATAACATATTACAATTAATTTTTGAATAATTTTCGTTGAAACTCCATCGTTGTCCGATTTCAATTTCATCTCCCAATTTTTTGATCTTGTTAAAATTCACTGTGAGACATAGAAAACCACATTTTTAAAAATAATATATTACAAATAATTTTAGAACAATCTTTATTGAAATTCCACCGCCGACCGATTTCAATTTCATCCCCTAATTTTTGGGTCTCGTTAAAATTTACTGCGATACATAGAAAACCACATTTTTAAAAATAACATATTACAATTAATTTTTGAATAATTTTCGTTGAAACTCCATCGTTGTCCGATTTCAATTTCATCTCCCAATTTTTTGATCTTGTTAAAATTCACTGTGAGACATAGAAAACCACATTTTTAAAAATAATATATTACAAATAATTTTAGAACAATCTTTATTGAAATTCCACCGCCGACCGATTTCAATTTCATCCCCTAATTTTTGGGTCTCGTTAAAATTTACTGCGATACATAGAAAACCACATTTTTAAAAATAACATATTACAATTAATTTTTGAATAATCTTCATTGAAATTCCACCGTCGTCCGATTTCAATTTCATCCCCTAATTTTTGGGTCTCGTTAAAATTTACTGCGATACATAGAAAACCACATTTTTAAAAATAACATATTACAATTAATTTTTGAATAATTTTCGTTGAAATTCCATCGTTGTCCGATTTCAATTTCATCCCCCAATTTTTTGCACCCGCTAAAATTCACTGCGATACGAAATTTAAAAAAATAATATATTACATAAATAATTTTATAGATTGGCCAGAATTACATCACCGAGCAATGTTAATTCAATCGCCTAATTTTCCGTCTAATTGACAAAACTCCCAGTGGTGCACCCCCAACCATATTCTCGCGAACAATTTAATTAACCACAGCGCAATCATCGTTAAAATTCCGTCGCTTCCACTTTGGCCAGTCAACGTTTCGTTCCCGTTAACATTCTTCCCCGGCATGTCAATGGCATTCCCAGGAAAGCAGTTTACGAGCGGTCGTCGCGTTCCGTTTCGTCGTTCGGTTCTTCGGTCGCGGCGAGGTTCACTTTCATTCGCGTCGCCGCCGTTCGAACAACGTGCGCGCAGAGCGACCGCTCCGCGGTCATTTAATCCACGCGCGTCACGGCGAGCCACCGATCGACTGTAATTTAGTAAAATTTGCTGCATGATCGATGCGTACCAGCGAACGAAAGTTCTCCGGCAGTCTCGGTTAGATTTCTCTTACGCGAGTCTGCGACCGCTCGGCTTTAAGAACTGTCGTGCTTGTTGTTGCTTCGACCCGTTGGGTTTTAGCACGTCCTGGCCGGGAAACAAAACCGCAGGCAGCCGTGCGCCGACGCTGAAACGGGCGACCGGTGAAAACTGTGTGGGAGTTCTGAGCTTCGTTTGCTTTGGAGATGGAACGATAAATATTATGACGAACGATAAATAATTTAGGGGACAATAAATGATACGAAGAACGATATATATTGTGACGAATAATAAGTAATTTGGAGAACAATAAATATTGAGATGGACAGTAAATAATATGAAGAACAATAAATAATTTGGAGGACGATAAATATTGAGATGGACAATAAATAATTTGATGAACAATAAATAATATGGAGAACAATAAATAATATGGAGAACAATAAATAATTTGGAGAACAATAAATATTGAGATGAATAATAAATAATTTGGAGAACGATAAATAATATTAGGAACAATAAATATTATGATTAACAATAAATAATTTAGGGAACAATAAATAATATGAAGGACAACAAATATTATGATGAATAATAAATAATATGAAGAACAATAAATAATTTGGATAATAATAAATATTGAGATGAACAATAAATAATAAGGGGAACAAT